AGAGAGAGAGAGAGAGAGAGAGAGAGAGAGAGAGAGAGAGCTCACCATCACAAGAATTGCTAATATTCCTCTCCCATATTTCCCTTTCCTTCCCACCGTAAGGAAGGCGGGAAAGTTCCTTCTCTCTCTCTTCTTACTTCCTCCTTAATGCCTTTCTCTCTTCTACTTCTCCTTCAATTCGTCTTCTCTTCCCTCAGAGCATATTCGTCTCCTTACTTCTTGGCTTTCACGAAAACTTTCACGAAAACTTTCACGAAAGATCATTGAACTTCCGCTTTAGCTTTCTTCAGTCTCGCTCCCGCCGCCCCGTCACTGGTGTGCTTGAACCACCAGAGGAACTAGAGGCATCAGAGGTGCTAGAACCATCAGAGGTGCTAGAAACAGAGGAACTAGAGCCATCAGAGGTGCTAGAACCATCAGTAAGTGCTAGAAACAGAGGAAATAGAGCCATCAGAGGTGCTAGAAACAGAGGAACTAGAGCCATCAGAGGTGCTAGAACTCTCAGTAAGTGCTAGAAACAGAGAAACTAGAGCCATCAGAGGTGCTAACACCATCAGAGTATGCTAGAAACAGAGGAACTAGAGCCATCAGAGGTGCTAGAAACAGAGGAACTAGAGCCATCAGAGGTGCAAGAGCGATTTAAGTACGAGAGACACAACCATCTAAGATCCTTGAAACCATTAGAGGCCCTAACGACCGAACCATCGTAAATGACATACAATCTAACATCCCAACATCACGTTCTCCGATACAAGCACATCACCAGAGTAGGTAAACAAAAGATTCGACTCATATTATAATGTTCTCTAGCTGAACTAATACACCCATCTTGACGGGCGCCTTAAGAGCGAGAGGTCAAGGGCCCGGCCTCGTAGCGTGGTTCTGTCTCAGTGACGGTGCCAGGAGGTGCCATAGGACCTGTAATTAATGTTTCACATTTCCTGGCCTCTTTCTCATAACCCCTAAACTGAGAAAGTTATATTAAGTGGTACGCCAGGATGCATAGTATGCATGCGTGTGAATATCTGTCAGTTCGTTAGGAATTGGCGACCCTCTGTTGCTGGTAGGCTGGCTGGCTGTCTGGTGGGTGAATTGGCATCCATGGTTCACTCGTCACTAGGGTGCCATGCCCTGGTTCTCCCATGGGTGATCAAAATACTCATTTCCTGCGGGGATCCCTTGCCGCCTGGTCATATTTGGCGCGGCTCCTTGTCTCCCGACACTAATTGCAAGTCGAGACAGCTCGTCCGTAAGTCATCTTGGCCGATATTTTGCCCGTATTGCAATATGCTTTTTGGGGGTGACTGGGGGAGTGGGGGTAGATGGCCAAGCAGCTCCAAGGACCCAAGGACAGGGAGTCGGTCGGCCGAGCGGACAGCACGCTGGACTTGTGATCCTGTGGTCCTGGGTTTGATCCCAGGCGCCGGCGAGAAACAATGGGCAGAGTTTCTTTCACCCTATGCCCCTGTTACCTAGCAGTAAAATAGGTACCTGGGTGTTAGTCAGCTGTCACGGGCTGCTTCCTGGGGGTGGACGCCTGATCGAGGACCGGGCCGCCGGGACACTAAAAGCCCCGAAATCATCTCAAGATAACCTCAAGATAACCCCTCTATACTGCTCCTCCAGAGGCTGCTTCACTATGATAACACGAAGTTAGAAAAAATGTTAAAAATAACCATGGAAAAATGAATTCAAAAGCCATTGAGGTATGCAAAAGCTGGAGAAACTGATCACCAAAAGCTTTATCAGCTCAGCTGGGAAAAACAAACACAAAAGTTCATTATGAAATAAACAAAATTCAATAATGAGCCTATAGGCACTGAGACAGTAGAAGGAAGAAGGCTCCGAACCTCTCGGCTTCTGCCCAGGCACTCAGGGCACGCCTGGAGGGCCTTAGGGCACACAAGAGACCCTCAGGGCACGCAAGAGGCCCCCAGAGCACGCTAGAGGCCCTCAGGACACGCTAGAGGCCCTCAGAGTACGCTGGAGGCCCTCAGAGTACGCCTGGAGGCCCTCAGAACACGCTAGAGGCCCTCAGGACACGCTAGAGGCCCTCAGAGTACGCTGGAGGCCCTCAGAGTACGCCTGGAGGCCCTCAGAACACGCTAGAGGCCCTCAGGACACGCTAGAGGCCCCCAGAGCACGCTAGAGGCCCTCAGGACACGCTAGAGGCCCTCAGGACACGCAAGAGGCCCTCAAAGCACCCTGGAGACCCTCAGAGCACGCTAGAGGCCCTCAAAACATGCCTGGAGGCACACTCATACACCCGCATATATGAAAATTCATAGATTTGTTTTTCCTGCCGAGATCAATATGAAGACCTTATACGCTGCAGCTCTGACTGTTGGGGCTGTGACATGGCGGGGGAGGGGAGAGAAAGGGAGAGAGAGAGAGAGGGAGAGAGAGAGAGAGAGAGAGAGAGAGAGAGAGAGAAGAGAGAGAGAGAGAGAGAGAGAGAGAGAGAGAGAGAGAGAAGAGAGAGAGAGAGGGAGAGAGGAGGGGGAGAGGAAGGGGGAGAGGGAGGGGGGGGGAGGAGAAGGGGGGGAGGGGAGGAAGGGGGGGGGGTTGCTTCATGATCTGATGGTTGTCGAAGTACTGACCTAATGACCCTTCCCTAACAGTGACCATGAGAGAGTGTGAGAGTATATATATATATAT